TTTGGCAGCTTGAAATGTACATTCAGGAAGCAAAAAAGGCACTTAAATGACTGCGTTCAGCTCGTTTGTCAGTTGTACCGATGAAAAGTCTTCCAGATGTTTGACTCTTTGTGTTTATCTTGCTGTCGTGTGATTGGTTGAGCTCTTTTACTTTTAGAGTCTCGACCAAAGGGCTCCGTTCAAGTAGATTTTGGAGGAATGATGTTGAGAATTGATTCTGCTTGGGGCCATAAATGGTCACATTTTAAGTTTAAACTACATAAAAATTAAACTTGAGCGGCGCCCCCTGCTGGCCAGCGTCTTTAGGATTCATCCCTTAGTTTATGGACTGAGAACAAGAGTCACGCAAGTTCCCTCACCTGCTTGTCACTCGTATTAATTCAGCACACATATTTCCAGCCGTATACGATCGTCACTTTGCACTAACGCCGTATTAAAACTCCAGTTTGAAGCCTTTTGTGGCTCAATCTGTAAAGACGGTGCGACTGGATGACAGGACGAGAAATGAAACGAGAAAAATAATGAATTTTAATCCAGCCCCGTCCGGCCATAACTGGCTCACAGGCCGCTGATAAAATGATAGCCATCAACTGACAATAAGGCCTTTCAGGCTGGGAGAGGAGCCCGTGTCTCATTTACATGGACTGGGGAACTGTGACTCTTTGTAATTCAGCCTGTACATGCTTCCAGTCGCAGCGCCGATCGACGGCAGCAGCGTGTTTTGGGATGTTCGCTTGAAACTGGACGGTCTTGATGAAGAGGGCTGAGAGTGGGTGGAGGGCGCAGCATTCCACAGAGCGAGACTTGATTAGTGGCTTTTGCACTTTAGACCAATAATGGGATGTGAGACACTGGGAGGCTTGTGCTTTTCTAATTCGGACAACGCCAGAAGAATACATTTGGAGAGAAGGACCTACGAGTCAGACGTCACCAGCTCGTCATCGCGATCCGTCCGCGAGGCGTTAGGAGCTCGCCGGAGAAGACGGCGCAGTGTCCACAGCCACAGACGGGCCAGTTCTTTTAGGTGTTAGAAAACAGCACATTTCCCTGTTCCAAGATGTTTCCCACTGATAGCAATGTCACCGTTCTCTCGTTTCTGCACAGAGACACAATGAGTAGGAACAGAGAAAGGCTCCGCACCGTGATAAACTCATGCAAAGTGTTGTACTTTTCCTGGGTCATTAATGGGTGAGCGTGAAGCCGTGACTCTGCGTGCACTTTTTCGCCGGACTCGACACATCGCACTTTGTCTCCTCGTCTATTTTTAATCCCATTTGCAGCTCATTTGCCGTGTTGTGAGAGATGGCCTGATAGGCGGCAAGAAAAAGCCGAAGCGGAGCAAGAAAAGATGCGCATTAGACGGATTGGTCGACGCAAAGGGCGTCTGAGAGAAAGGACGGGAGTGTAAAGAGATATTAACACCACGTATATCAATTTATTAAGAGACCGTGACGCATCTGAAACGAGGAAAAACTGTTAAATACGATCGAAAAATGGTTTGATTACAAAAAAATCAGAACACAGATCAGCTGTTACGAAGGAATGATAGAGATCTATGAAATGCTGGACGAGGAAATTATGGCGTTAAGGCATAAAGAAATATGTCACGACTTTGCAAACTTTCCAGACGTACGTTCTTCGATGAGGCTTCTCTGCAGGATGCATGTAAATTCTTTCAATACATCAGCATCTGTAGCTTTAAAATCTTGTTTTGATCACAAGACATGTGGATTTTTCCCTAAATGCATTAAAAAAAAAACTACAAGTAGACTCTGATATGGTGTTATGTAACGGCATCGTGGCGTCTTCAGGTGCTGAAAGTGCAGTTACATGAGAATTATTGGACCAGCCGAGACGAACGGGTTTAATTAGCAACACACAACTGAATTAAGACGACAAGTCAACACCGCTGGTTCACGTTAGACGCACTTCTGTTGGTTGATTCCTCTCAAATGGACAGTTTTTGATTTTTAAAACCCAAAAGTAAAAAGATTATTTTCATCATTGTCTTTTCTTTTTTTGACGCCCCTCAAAGAAATCTGAATGTGAGAAGAATCCACAAAGGTTCCCTGAGATTCATTAAAACTTTAACTTCAGTTTAAATTCTCAGACTCACGTTTGATTCCTACCTGAGGACAATTTTCTGCACGTCATATCTCTACATTTCTTTGCATTCTGACTCTCTGCATCGATCAAAAATGGCAAAAAAAAATAGACTGTTTTTAGAACTTTTCTTTAAAGTGGGATTGAAATTCAGCTCAACATTCGTTCCTAAAACACTAAGAAAGACGCCTATGAGCAGAAACTCCTCGTTCTAAACATCAATAATGTATCTGAAGGTTCAATACAACAGTTACACGTATGGAAAATATCAACAGGCCGAAAAAGCTTCGTGATGTTTCCTCTTTTCTGTGTTACCTTCCCTACTCTGTTTCCATACGAACGTTTCTCTAATCTGACTTCTAGAAGCTAAATTTAGTGCATCCTGAAGTCCACGGAGACCGCTCCATATGATGAAGTATTAAGTTATGAGCTCATCCTTGTTTCCGTGACGTCAGAGGAGCACAAACTCCTGCGAGGACGCTGATGTCCTCCATCTAGGCCTCTCCGTCCTGCTCGGCGTGAGACAAACCCCTCAAAACCAACAACAAATAAAAGTTAGAAGAGATGATGGAAGATTTGAAGGAGAAAAGGTTAAAGAGGAAGAGAAGTGCTGGTGGAAAAGAGCAGAGAAGATAATGAGCAAGAGAAGGAAAAGAGAAGTCGTGTTTTATCTGATATCACAATAGGACCTTGTCTTGCTGGGACCACGTTGGCCTCCAACCGTAAACCTGTGTGTCCTTTAACACAAAGACCACTTGAATTAAACCCCTGCAGCAGACAGTGGACGCTGACTGGAGGGCTGATTTCAGGCCTCTAATCTGTGAATTCATCAGAAAGTGCAGCGCGTTCCGAACCAGAAAGTCCGGCCCGTCGCGTCTCTGACGTCTGGCTTTATGGCGTCAGGCTCAACAAGCTGATATTTAAATTCAAACAACTTTGCATTTCTCTTTCAAAGTGTTATTGACAGTGACGAATCCTTTTCTGTAGCGGAGCGCACAGTCACAGCCTCCCAAACCCGTCAGCATTCAAACTAACTGTGTTGGGTGTCAGGTGCACATTTGCATCCGCAGCGTTCAGCCCAACACGTGGACTCTTCATAGAAACTAAATTAACAGACCTCTACTTCCCCTTTGAGAATAAGTCATCGCACCATTTGGCCGCAGAATATGTTTCACCATAAGGCAATGAATAACTGCAGATAAGAACTAACAGCTTCTTTTTTTTTTTTTTTTTTGAGTAGGATGCACTTCGTTGCTTTTCCTGGAAGCTTTTGGCTTCGTCTCCTCGTCGTGATTATTCTGTTAAACTAATATTTTCCAGTGTGAAAAGTTGACTTTCATGCCAAGTAAAAGAAAAACCATTTCAGTTCTTCAAAAGGGATCCTGTACTTTGTGTATGATGGGTTTTTTTGTTTGGTTTTTGTGGAGTCATTTGCCTGTAAAATGCAAGACAAGGCCACACAGAGGTCACAAGGTGCAGCAGGAAGACGTTCACTCAGAAACTGCGCTTTTTTAAATTTACAGTTTTACTAAATTCAACCTTAAATCTGCCGCCTGCTACCAAACGTGTCCAGTAAACAGCCAGTGGGAACCTACTGGTGCTTATTCTGACCCCAGTGAAGAATGAGTAAAACTGTGGTCACCAAACCTCCATTTAGTTGGAAATGACGCCGCTCCAGGTTGGAAACTGCACTTTGTCGTGATTCAAATAAGCTCCACACAACAGCCTTGTGTATAAGTGACTCGGCTGCTTTGCATGATATCAAGAAATTAAAAACATTAACCAAATGGAGGAGAACAAAAAACCCAAACAGGTCGACGGTCAGCTGGGTTTCTAATCCACTGCGGAGGAGTTCTGGTTCAGGTGTGACGACACCGTGGCTGGTGGAAGAAGAAGAAAGCTGCTGGTTCTGGTGTTAAAGTCGCACATTTTGCATATTTACACCGAAACCTTGTCACCTGTCGTCTAAATATGAGCATCACATGAACAGCTTCCACTCCGCTAGTTAATCTACGCAGACTATAAGTAGAAATGAGACGTTTAGAGCATCTGTGTTGGAGTTTCATGCTAAAATTTGGTGCTTGTGTGTCACATGTGGAACAAACGAAAGGTCAGATAAACCTTAAAGCTACCAAGCAACACCTCTCATCACTTTTTAAGACTTGTCTTATTGCTTTTCAGTAACAGGTGCATTTTCGGTTGCATTGGACAGAAGTTGCCTCTAATGACTCGCTCAGTCTATCAGGTCCCGCCGAGGGTCTGCGTGTCCCTGACGGGGACGCTGAGCTGCACCTCATTCCATTCCTGACCCCTTTGTGTTGGCCACACACATCCTCACATGCCATTCTCAACCTATCTCACCCTTTCTCTCCCTCCCTCCCTCTGTCTCCCACCAGCCGGACCAGTGGGGTGAGGACAGGTGGATCGGTGGCTGCAGTTATGTAAGCTCTGTCCAGAGGAGCACATTTCTCACAGCACAGGTCACTCCTGAATAAATAACTCACAGATACAGATAACCAACATATAAAGAGCCTTAGTTAACACAAAGGAGCTGAAATCAGTGCGTTCAGACATCTTCTCTCCACGCCTTCCAATAAACAGCCGCTACTGTTGCTCTAATCACCTGCTGACACACGTTTGAATCCAATTAAAACCCTCAAAGAACCATTGTGTGCCTGTATAGCAGTCCATCACATCTTCTTTGGTGACACCAGGATGAAAACTTTTTTTCATCAACTTTTCTTTGCGCTGCGTAACTTTCCTGCGTAAACTGTTCACATCTACCTGCGCAACAGGTGCAGCCACACCGGCGCGAGACTAACCCCACTGTCACAACTGGGGGGAAAAAAACCGTTCAGTTTTATTTCGTTGCAAAATGTGTCCAAGCTTTCCTTTACCTTGAGGAGAGCGCAGAAGACCAGGAGAGTCCACAGAGAGACGCCGGAGCGCAGCTTCATGATGCTCGGGGACGAGTTGCCTTTCTCTACCCGCTCATGTCCAAACTTCTGCCTCGCCTTGAAAAACACACCTCGTTCACTTCAAAGTCCGTCAGAGTGTCGCTACATCAACAGGATTAAAAGTGAAGTGAGGGGGAACTTTTTCTTTCTTTCTTTCTTTCTGTCTCTGTCGCCGCTGACTGGGAGGAGCGGCGGCGGCGCGCGTCATTCGGGGAAGTTTGATAAAACCAAGTCCGCCACTCCTCTCCTCATCACTGCTGCTGCTTCGGTGTGTGTGTGTCACAGCTTCTCCGCGGACTTCGAGGAAGAGCCTGCCTTCCTCGAAGAACGGTCATCCTCGCATTCTTGCCATAACTCGGCCACTTGCAGGGTGAAGGAATGCGTCCGCGGGGTCCCTTTTTTCTACTGAAGCAGGGCGCAGAGCGGCCAAAGCAAACGTTTGGGAGACTTTCCTGAAGTTAATAGTTTCTCTGCTTCCAACCAGAGATGCTGCACATTTCACAAGAAGAGAGTCATGGCTCCTGGTGTGATGCCCAAAGACAGAAAAGAAAAAGAAGAAGTTTTCTGAGGATGAAAAAGAAAAAACCTGATTTGTCTCAACATCCCCATTTCTGGTTCATTCCTCTGTTATTTTTACCAAATATTTCACAAAATGATAGAAATAATCTTTATTTTTGTTGCAGTTTTCCCAACAAAGTGCTCAACAGACACTAGATTATTCAGGCTGGATGGAAAATGATGGATGCCGGAAGTATTTCAAAGACTATTAACATCTAAAATTAAAAGAAAAAAAAGACATACAAAGAAAATAAAAGCAGCCAGAGAGCACGAAAACAGAACAAGGGTGGTAAAACACAGCCTCTGTCGAGGCCCTTTTGATTGAAGAGTTGTTCTTTTGTTTTTAAATTAGAGTAAAAAGATGCTGAAAGTCTGAGCTGAAAAGACAAAGTGCTCAAAGTTTAGGTTATTGTTCACATGCTGAGTGAAACCTGCATGTAAAAGGTTAAAAGGTCATTCATGTAGTTTGGATTAAATTGGTTTAAAACTGATTTATTAATTCAGTTTTATTTGTATAGCGCATATTTACAACAACAAGTCATCTCATAGCGCTTAATTAGAATTTTAAAATGTAGAAGTGGTCACGGCCTCCACAACCCAAGAAAGCGTCTTCAGATTCCTCGTTTGTCTCACAAACCCAAAGATATTCAGGCGACGCTGATCATTCATGAACCTCACCGGAGATAATTTGGTTGTAATTATTCAAAATTTCTTGGTTGTTTTTCTGAGGAACTGATTCTGGCTGGAGGTTTTAGTCTCCATCACTTTTTTGTGTGTTCTCCAACGTACCAACATCAGCTGGTTTGGGTCCAAACTAGTAAGATAACAGAAG